CACACACACACACACACACATACACACACACGCACACACACACACACACACACACATATATATATATATATGTATCTATATATCTATATATATTTATACGCATAATTGTACCCATTTGTTATCTGGATAGCATATACATACACTTGTAGGCACATATATAGCAGCACCTTTCTCCTCGTTCGCTTGGCTAATGATCTCCCCCACATCGTATACGTCCCACGTGTCCGTGGTCGTGACACTCTCTGCCACCTCATCGTCTGTCGGCCGAGAGTCACTCAACGAATTGTAGGCATGTCCCCAGTCATTCTGCTGAATAAACTCTCTTGCCTCTGTTCCGTACACACTGTCGATCAAGGCAAAGTCTACTTCTACGCCACGCCTGAAAAGATGGTGAATGGATTGGAATGTTAAACCCAAGTCAATGCAATTCACAGGCGCAATTGGACAGCTATCGTTGCAAGACATGAAACGTCTGTATACTACACCACCGAAAGGAATATGAGCCATAGCCTCCTAAAAATTACAGACTATGTATGTGGCCGCCTCTATAGTGTCAGACAGGCGCGTCAGAAGGCCATAAATACACGCAACAATAAGAGGGACTGTCACTCGTGTTAAACCATAGCCCGCCACCGCTGTTGTCCTGGGAAATCGGAGTTTGGTGTCTGTGCGCCCTATCATTTAGTGGCCAACCTATCGCTGATCTGTGCTGATATATCGATATTCAATACAGACTGTTCGGTACAGACCGACTCATAGCTACACACTTACTTCCGCTTGCGCAAGGTCTCGCGCTCCCTCTCATCTGCGACGGTGATACGCGCGGCGTTCAACAGCTCCAAAGGAAGAACATCGCCCCGGAAGAGTCGGAATTTACTTACCTTTGCGGGTGTATCATCTGCACAAGTACACAGATGCGACACCATATTAGCGCTCACACGGCAGTGGAGGCAATCACCTGTGCACGGCTTAGAGATCAAGTATGTCCGGTGTCTCGGAAACTTCCCCTTCGTATAGTTCATGGTCTTGGTCTTGTACTAACGCACGCTTTTGTTTGTGTACTCTGCACGTATTGCGTATGTGCACAATTATCGGAGGAAGTTCACAGTAGCTACCCCAGATGTATAAGCAACACATACGTGCGTAACAGGTGCGAACACGGGTTCATGTGCTGTGCATGGACACAGTTGTAAGCGACGGCGACAAAACGTCGAGGTCTGCCTCGTTCGCCATACGAATCATGTAGTGCGGCGTAAGAAAGCTTTGGCGACCGCAAGCGAATCAACGCCAACGGAAACAGTTGCATTGCAGCAGCCGTATAGAGAGCACTCGCGGCACACCATGTAGGTAATTAGAAGCGTAGACTAACACGCAGACCATGTGCCATTGGACGGCCGAGAGTACGATGTCTCATTCGGAATGCACCGAGAGATGCGTTACAGCACGCGCATGGAAGACATTCAGAGGCAGAGCACACACGGACAAACATACAATCGTGCACCTTGTTCCGGGATGTAGGTCAAGCACTTACTTGATGCGGAAGGGGACATTCAGAGGCAGAGCACACACGGACAAACATACAATCGTGCACCTTGTTCCGGGATGTAGGTCAAGCACTTACTTGACGCGGAAGGGCCCGTGCCTTTGTGGGTGTAGTACAAGGTATAGATGTCTGCGATATTGTTCTCGAGAGCAAAGCCAAAATGCAGCAACAGATCGCCGTTCCCCTTCGGTCCATAGTCTATGCACACCTGCATGGTCATGGGCGGCGTGCCGAAAGAAGCTTGAGATGGGGTGATCTGATCGAACTATAGACAAACATATCCCTTGTATCAATGGTAGACGAGACAGGTGTTTGGCATATCTGGTATCTCTGCTCGTCATAAGTGCGTATCCTCGGCTATAGCAAAGCTGATATATATAGGGAGTGCGTTTGACAACTTTGTTGTATGTACTTGCGATACATACACACGCCTCGCGTGTTCTCATGGAGCTTGAGATTGGTGGTGGCATCATACATAACCCTTTATAAGATGCAGCCACAGCATGTCCATTCTTAGTTCTCAAATACCATATCGAATTCAACAACCAGCATACGTAAGAGAGTCTGTGGCAACTGTAACTACAAATACACTCGGCATATACACAAGTAAGCATCACAATATGCACCCAGGAACTCAGCTATATGTAGCAGCGAAGCACAATGAACTACTAGAAGTGCAGCCAACACTCAATGTAACTGCGTGCATACGAAGGAACACCTCTGGTCCCATACCGTACCTGCTCTCCCTTGGCTATCCTGTACCCACATGTCAGTGACAGGATCTTAGTTTTCTTGTCCGCCTCTCGTCTTGTCCGTGCTTTGATCTCAGTTAAAGTACCTGGGTTGTGGATTGACACAGGAATAGTTAAAACTATCACACTTTGGGGTGTTGTCGATGCATAGGAAAACCCAAAATACACCTCACATGTGACTGAGACAGCTACGTGCACAGGTTCAATGGAGAGAGGGATAAAGCGCGAACACGCATAGACATACGCACTCTATACACAACGAATGCCACCAGATGTAGGCAACTATACGGAGACCAACAACCAACCCAAAATCACGCAGTGCTAATTCTATCCACGATTGAAGCTCTTCATTTATACAACTTATCTGCTGCTGGGCTAGCGAGCCTTAGCGAAGCAGTGGAAAATGTTGGTATAAGAACAAAACAAGACAAAAAATATGAGCACAAGGGCAGTCACTGTGATCCTGTCATGTGGGCACGCTTGTATCAACGGGTAGACGTGGTTCGTATAGAACGAGATGTATA